TTAAGTGTTCTCAAAAATATCCTATTAAACTCAAAAAATAGTTCATACTTTGAAGAAACACCAGCATTCCCAGTTTCAAATGGTATAAGTGTTAGGTTTGTAGGTATTCTATGTTCTGAGATGAATATGGAATCATGTTTGGTGTTACACTGCACTGAGAACAATACTCGTTCTTCCACCACCGAGAAGGTGTAGGTTGGTGGTAAAGAACGAGTAAAAAATTGCCCTAAATAAATGTAGACAAGAGAATGATGAGACAGTAAAATTACAATATAAAATTGCTGAAAACAGAAAAATGTTTAGCTCAACATTTTTAACTGTTAAAGTGTCAAAATGTGTGCAATCTTACAGAATACGAGACCTGGCAATGTTAATGTTTTTGACTGTGACGTGACAAATATCCTGTCATAAACTGAAATGACATGTTTGCATTTCAACCTTGCAAAGCAACAAATAAAAACACACACTTACAGGGTGCATTTCAAGAGAAAGAGTCAGCAGTAAAGGTGCCCTATAACTCATGTTCCGACGCAATAACCACCAACCCTGCGTTTGATGGTTCCACGACTTCGAAGCACAATGGCGCAATAAGATCACAACGACGCACTTTGAATATTTTCCTTTGTTATCGGGCATTTGCACCGACTGACACTTGCTCTGACAGACTCCCACTCACACAGTAAACAAAGGCACAGGTAGTACTAAGGGCAGATAAACGCAAGATATCGTCCATACTCACATGCGATTTGCCAAAAGATAGGACGAGCATTGTCTGGCTTTGTATTTCAATCGTTTACTTTAACTTCTCCACAACATTTTCTGTTTGGGAAAGTCATTTTTCAGGCACACGATCGATGACTTGAGTCTTGCATGCGCGTCTGTTGTGCGCAGGCCTCGGAGTAGTTAGCAGACGACACACTTTTGAGTTTGTAAGTTTGCACCAACCCTAGAAAAGTAAAACAGCTTTACAAAAATAGCAAAACGGTCGAAGCGATGTGTCCTTTATGGAGCTCAACAGTGAGAATAAGAAGGATGTGTTACTTTTGGTGAAAGGAGTGGATTTAGTATCCCAAGCGAAAAAGAGGACAAGAACTAGATTAAGTTGCCGAAAGTTGGCAGCCCTAGAGAAGAGGTGAGCCGGCGAATGCGGCAAATTTGAATGACGAATAACTAGCTCTAGTCTGGGACTATAATGGTCGAGCAAGTCCTATTTAATTTATTTTAAAATTCTGGTCATGCAAAATTATTTTCTCTTTCATTGTA